GCGCAAGAGATTTCGATGATATTCGAGTTTAAGTATTGCTAGGCTGGGAGTGACTCTGAGTAGTTCTACGAGTGAACCTGTGCGCATGAGCCTGGGGCCTCTTCGGGCTTCTTGTGACCTCCTGAGGCCTCCCTCCAGGGGCCTCCTGGACCCTCCTGGAGCCTCCCAGGGCCTCCTGGGGTAGGAACAGACGTACAGAAACTGTGCGGATTGGAGCCACAGGAGAATGGCAATCCATAGGAACGCGCGTTAATCACAAAAGACTCGTGCCCCTGGGGAGGCCCAATCTATAGGAACAGACGTAAAGCACGTAAGATCGGATACACCTGCGAAGGACAATCTATAGAAACATGCATACAACACAAAAGATTCGTCCTCCAGCACAATCTGAAGGAGCATGCGTAAAACACATAGGATTGGAGCCATTCCTGTGGCCTTGTCAGGCCTCCTGCTCCTGGGGCTCTTGGGGCCTGCCTCCTGGTGCCTTCCGGAGCCTCCCGGTGCCTCCGGGCGCTTCCTGTGGCCTCGTGGGGCCTCCCGTGGCGTCCCGTGGCCTCCTGGTGCATCCTGGGCCCTCCTCCGCTTCCTCCTCCTCCTCCTCCTCCTCCTCCTCCTCCTCCTCGTCCTCCTCCTCCTCCTCCGCTTCCTCCTCCTCCTCCAACCCGTCCTCTCCTCCTCCTCCTCCTCCTCCTCCTCCTCCTCCCTCCTCCTCCTCCTCCTCCTCCTCCTCCTCCTCCTCCTGCTTCCTGGGACCTGGAGCCTCTTGGGGCATCCTGTTGCCTCCTGAGTCTTCCTGTTGCCTCCTGGTGCCTCCCGGGACCTCCCGTTGCCTCCCGGGGCCTCCTGGAGCCCGCTGGAGAGCCTCCCGTGGCATCCTGGGGCGGATCCGTGCCCACGAGCCTGGTCACCAAAACAGGCAAACCGATCGAGACATCCTCAACATCTGGCCCGACTTGGGGGCAATAATGAACGCCTCGCTCGAGACATCCTCCAAATCTGCTCCGGAAGCGGAGCATGTTGAGCCGGTGGGCAGGCAAACCGCTCGAGACATCCCCGCCATTTGGGCGCGAACGAAGGCCGTAAGATAACCCTGGCGGCCCCCCCTTTGAACAGGCAAACCGATCGAGCCATCCTCAAAATTTGGCCCCATTTGGGAGCGAAAATGAACGCCTCGCTCGAGACATCGTCCAATGCTGCTCCGAAAGCAGAGGATGTTGAGCTGGTAAAAAGGCAAACCGCCAGAGAATCCCCGCCATTTTGGCGCGAACGGAGGCCGTGGGATACCCTTGGCGGCCCCCCATTATGTGTGCGGAAACCAGCGATCCGCCTGAGACATCCTCAGGATACGCTTTGAGCGTAGACGAGTCTGGCCACCACCATCATCATCAGCATCAACAGTTTTACCATCATCATTCACCAGCTGCATCATCATCGTCGTCATTATACTCCTATCGTCAAGACGGGGAGGAGGAGAAGGAAGGAGGGTGTGTGAGGAAGGTTCGCGCGGTCACAGTAATAACAAGAACCCCATCCTTTGGATACGGGGAACGAATTTAAATTAGTACAAGCAGCGAGCGAGGCCTAGCTCACCCGCCAGCTCCGTAGCCCCCCAGGAATGGCGAGGTCTCCTGGTGGTCCGCGTAGAACGTCACCCCGCAGGAACCCACAGCAGCCTTCGAAAGTGGCGACAGTGTTGGAGATCGCAGTCCCCCAGGGAGGGAGGTCTCATGTGAATCTGGGTAAGACGTCACTCCGCTCGACCCCCACCCCAGCAGCTCTCGAAAGCGGCGCTGGGTTCGAAGATCGCAGCCCCACAGGGGTGGCGAGGTCTCATCTGAATCTGGGTATGACGTCATTTCGCTGGACCCCACAGCAGCCCTCGAAAGTGGCGACGGTTTCGGAGATCGCAGCCCACAGGGATGGCGAGGTCTCATCTGAACCTGGGTAAGGCGTCGCCCCGCTGGACCCCCAGCAGCCTTCGAAAGTGGCGACAGGTTTGCAGATCGCAGCCCCATAGGGATGGTGAGGTCTCATCTGAACCTGGGTAAGACGTCACCCCGCTCGACCCCCACAGCAGCCCTCGAAAGTGGCGACAGGTTCGCAGATCGCAGCCGCACAGGGTTGGCGAGTTCTCATCTGAATCTGTGTAAGGCGTCACCCCGCTGGACCCCCAGCAGCCCTCGAAAGTGACGACAGGTTCGCAGATCTCAGCCCCGCAGGAGGTCTCATATGAACCTGGGTAAGACGTCACTCCGCTGGACCCCCAGCTGCCCCCGAAAGCGGAGACAGTTCCGCAGATCGACCCCCCCCCCAGGGATGGCGAGATCTCATATGAACCTGGGTAAGACGTCACTCCGCTGGACCCCCCAGCAGCTGTCCAAAGTGTCGACCGGTTCGCAAATCGCAGTCCCACAGGGATGGCGAGGCTTCATCTGAATCTGGGTAAGGCGCCACTCCGTTGGAACCCAAGCAGTTTTCGAAAGAGGCGACAATTTTGCACATCGCAGCCCGACAAGGATGGCGAGGGCTCATCTGCATCTGGGTAGGACGCCACTCCGCTAGACCCCCCAGCAGCTCTCGAAAGTGGCGACATTTTCGCAGATCGCAGCCGCCCAGGGATGGCGAGGGCTCATATGAATCTGAGTAAGGCGTCGCTCCGCTGCACCCCCCAGCAGCTCTCGAAAGTGGCGACATTTTCGGAGATCGCAGCCCCCCAGGTATGGCGAGGTCTCATCTGAGCCGGGGTAAGACGTCGCCCCGCTAGACCCCCCAGCAGCCTTCGAAAGTGGCGACAGTTTCGCAGATCGCAGCCGCCCAGGGATGGCGAGGGCTCATCTGCATCTGGGTAAGACGCCACTCCGCTAGACCCTCCCCAGCAGCTCTCGAAAGTGGCGACAGTTTTGGAGATCGCAGCCCCCCAGGGGATGGCGAGGTCTCATCTGAACCTGGGTAAGATGTCACCCCGCTCGACCCCCCAGCAGCCCTCGAATTTGGCGACAGGTTTGCAGATCGCAGCCCCGCAGGGATGGCGAGGCCTCATTTGAATATGGGTAAGACGTCGCCCCGCTCGACCCCCCAGCAGCCCTGGAAAGCGCCGACAGGTTCGCAGATCGCAGCCCCACAGGGGTGGCGAGGTCTCATCTGAATCTGAGTAAGGCGTCACCCCGCTAGACCCCCCATCAGCCCTCGAAAGTGGCGACAGTTTCGGAGATCGCAGCCCCCCAGGGATGGCGAGGTCTCATTTGAATTTTGGTAAGACGTCACCCCGCTAGACCCTCCCCAGCAGCCCTCGAAAGTGGCAACGGCTTCGCAAATCGCAGACCGACAAGGATGGCGAGGTCCCACCGGAATCTGTGTACGACGCCACTCCGCTCGACCTCCCAGCAGCCCTCGAAAGTGGCGACATTTTCGCAGATCGCGGCGCCGCAGGGATGGCAGGAGGAGGGGCCCGCATCTGGCGGAGAGGGGAGGAGGAAAGGTGGCGGGAAGGAAGGAAGGCAGGAGGTTTGCGACCGTAGTGCTCTATCCAAAACGAGTACACGACGCAGGAGGGTTGGGAAATGAACAGGTTCGGTTGTCGGGGCTTGATGTCGTCCAGACATCCAGCGCATCGAAAAAATCAAGGCGACAGATGTTGTTGCCCTTTGGGGCCTCTGGGGGGCGGTTTCGGGCCATGGGACTGTCAAAAAGTTGGTCTGGGATGACAGGCCGATCCCGAAGAAGGGGTCCAAACATCCAGGGGCCCGCGCATCAGAGTCCACTTCGATCCGATCGATCCGATCCGTTATCGATTCTGCAGAGCAGCCCGACGGCTTCCGAGATTCCAACGGTCCGATGTGACCCGGTGCGTACATGGCGTGCGCTCTTCCGCATCTTCGCGCGGCCGATCCGAGGCGGTTTCGGCCCCGTGGCGATGCAGCCCGATCCGACGCACACGTCGACCGATACGATTGTCGTCATCATCATGGTGATGATGATGGTGATGATGATGATGATGATGATGATGATGACGACGACGACGACGACGATCGACTTGACACGACTGCTTGACCGATACGACTGTGCAACGAAAAGGTCGGTGCCCCGGATGTCTGGTGTCGTCGTTGTCTCGCAGTTGCGGCGTCCAGGGGAGCGGCTGTTTTCGAGGGGGGGGGCCTCTGGGGCGATCGGAAGGAGCCCACCGCGGCGAGGGGTCTGTCCTGGGCGGCGCGTCGGGAGCAGGAGAGGTGTCAGGCTGGGAGGCTCGAAGGCGTCAAAATACCACATCCCCGACGATATGATTTGTCGTGTTTCAACCCTGGCGTCTGTCCTTGCATTTAGTCTCTGGTCCCTGGGCATCGGTGTGGTTGGCAGGGCCTTGGGTTCGCGTCTGCCTCGGCTGCGGTGGCGCTCGGCCGTGGCGGCGACGGCTTTACGGAAATCGTCCCCCCGCCGTCGCGCGCACCCCCCCCCGCTGTCGCGCACAATCAAAGTGTTGTCGTCATCGTCGTCATCGTCGCCGTCACTGGCCTCTGTTTGGGCGGGGGCGGGTTTCATCACTCCCTCGCCCCCTCCCCCCGCTGCCGCTGCGGCAGACGCGGGGGGCCGTCATCGCACCAGGGGAGGAGCAAAGAAAGATCGTGCCCAGGGAAGCGCAAGGGACCTCTGGGGCCGCGCATGGGAAAAGTATCATCGTCGCATGCCTGGGATTGAGTCTCGATCTCCTGATTTCTGGAGCGTTGCTCTTACATTCCGGGGAGAGGGGAGGAGGAGCGGGGAGAGGGGGAAGGCGAGGTTGAGGGAGGAGGGAAGGGGAAAGAAAAGACGAAAAAAACGGTGGGAGGAGGAGACGGGGAAGGGGACGGACGAGGGGGAGCAATGGGGAAACGAGGGGAGCAAGAGGGAATGACGGTGGGAGGCGGGGGTGTGCGGAGGGGGCGGAAAGGTGAAGGGGAGGAGCGTGGAGGGAGGGAGGGGGAGGAGAGGAGAAAGGAAGGAAAGTCAGGGGAAGTCTCAATGTTTTCTGGCTCGAGCAGCCGGGGCTGAGGCGATTCGAGGCCTTGCGCGCTGGATCGAAGTCCTGGTGCTTCTCCAAATGGACGCGGCCTACCAGACGTTCGACGCAGCAAAGGCAGTGGTATGCTGTTGCCTCCAATCTTCCTACTCTGCGCCCTTTTCTAGCTTCTCTGCTCATCTGTTATGATAATCCTCCTTCCTCTTCCTCCTCCTCCTCCTCGGCCTTTCTCATCCTCTTCCTCTTCCTCTTCCTCCCTCCTCCTCCTCCTCCTCGTCCTCCTCCTCCTCCTCCTCCTCCTCCTCCTCCTCTTCCTCATTCCTCCTCCTTCTCCTCCTCATCATCATTCTCCTCCTCGTCCTCTTTCTCCTCCTCTCCCTCCTTGTCCTCCTTCTCCTCCTCCTCTTCCCCCCCTCCTCCTCCTCCTCCTCCTCCTCCTCCTCCTCCTCCTCCTCCCCCTCCTCTTCCTCCTGCTTCTCCAATTCCTCCTCCTCCTCTTCATCCTCCTCCTCCGCTTGGAGACAGGGTATATTCCAACATCGTTGACGACTCTTGGGTGTACACTGCGACACTGCGGGCATAGCGGTTTGTCCGCCGCAGCCCGCGTTGGGTGTACATTGGTCCTCCTCTTCCTTCTGCTCCTCCTCCTCCTCCTCCTCCTCCTCCTCCTCCTCCTCCTCCTCCTCATTCCTCCTCCTTCTCCTCCTCCTCCTCCTTCTCCTCCCCCTCCTCCTCCTCCTCCTCCTCCTCCTCCTCCTCCTCCATCTCCTCCTCCTCCTCCTTGTCCTCCTCCTCCTCCTCCTCCTCCTCCATTCCTTTTCCGAATAAATAATGTCTCCCTGTCGCACCCCGGGACCAGTTTTTAGGGCGGGCTGGGCGTTTCGCCTGAGACTTCTTCACCATCCATGATTCTGAAGCTTACAAAAAGACAACAGCTTCACAGATGGAGGGCGGGTCGTTTTCAACATGTGGCTCTCGCCTACGCGCCGCGCACATTCGTTTTAAAAATGCAAGTGTTTCGCGGGTTGAGGGCGAGTGGTTTCCTAAATGGGGCCCTCGCCTTAGCGCCACGCGCATTCGTTTTAAACATGTGCAAGGGTTTCACGGATTGAGGGCGAGTGGATTTCAAGATGTGGTTCTCGCTTGAGCGCCGCGCACATTCGTTTCAAAAAGTTGCAAAGGCTTTCCCGGATTGAGGGCCAGTCGTTTTCAAAATGGAGTTCTCGCTTCAGTGCCGCGCACATTCGTTTTAAGATTTCCCAAGTGCTTCACAGATTAAGGGCGGCTCCTTTTCAAAATGTGGTTCTCTGTTCAGTGCCGTGGACATTCGTTTTAGACATTTGCAAGAATTTCGCGGATTGAGGGCGGATTATTTTCAAAATGTGGTTGTCGTCTTAGCGCCGCGTACATTCGTCTGTAAGTTGCGCAAGAGTTTCATTGAATCCCATGATCAATGTATCAGAAATTGCGTTCTGGAAGGATTCAGGATTACGCGGGTGCAACCGTTACGTTTGTTCGCGGTGTTGAAGTCAGAGGAATGGCGTTCTGGCACGGTTTAGGATCGTCAAGATGCAACAGTCAGGTTGATCCGTGGCGTTGGAATCCCGAGAAACATGTTTATGCATGCTTCAACAAGACAGTTCCCGCAGTGGAAATGAATCGTCATAGAGGCCTATGAAGAGGGAGCTTGGAGGGAGGGTTTATTCCAACATCGTTGATGACTCGTGGGTTTCCACTGGTCCTTCTCCTCCTTCTTCTTCTCCTCCTCCTCCTCTTCATCCTCCTACTCCCTCCTTCTCCTCCTCCTCCCCCTCATCCTCCTCTTCCTCCTCCTACTCCCTCCTTCTCCTTCTCCTTCTCCTCCTCCTCCTCCTCCTCCTCCTCCTCCTCCTCCTCCTCCTCCTCCTCCTCCTCCTCCTCCTCCTCCCCCTTCTCCTCCTCCTCCTCCTCCTCCTCCTCCTCCTCCTCCTCCTCCTCCTCCTCCTCCTCCTCCCGGCGCGGCAAAGGCAGTGGCGTTCCCTCTGAGCCTCTCCCTGCTGGTACTCTACCCCGTGGGCCTGTTCGCCTGGACCGCCATCGAGGGCCACGCCGCCGCGCGGGTGCAGACCAAGGCCAAGGTGGCGGAGAGGCAGGATCGGAGGAGCCAGGCTCACTTGCCTCGCTTTCCCCCGCGGGCCTCCTGGGAGGCCCTCGTCGCCACCGTTGAATTCGCCTCGAAACCCTGGTCAGAGAGCGCCCCGCGAGAGGTCCGGGGAGTAGCAGTATCGGTACCTTTTGGTTTCCCCACAGGCGGGAGAACCATGATGAGGAGGAGCAGCAGGAGGAGGCCCCTCCCTGTCGGCCCTCGTGCCGTTCCCCCGTCGTCGCGCTCGTCGGCCCCACCAGCGGCTGCAAGCGGACCGTCTTCCGAATGACCCCCATCCCTGCCGCAAGGCAGGGAGGGGGAACAGACTTTGGGTCAAGCACAGGCCGATGCAACCTTCAGCAGTGGCAGCAGCAGGAGGATGGAGGGAGGAGGACTCGAAGAAGAAGCAACGACATGCCACAGAGGTCTGCGCGGATGTCCTCGATCGGCGCAGGAACATCCCGGCGGCGGCCGCCCTCCGAAGGCTTTTATGCCTTCTCCCCTGCCAGCGCTCGCACTTCGGAAGTCTCGCCTCCCTTCTACAGTGGGGGCGCTGAGGAAGGAACCCTTTTCGTTGGGGAGGGGCTCGGCGTTCCTCAAGTGTCTCGCAGCTTGCCTCGGGCTTTCCTCAGGTCTTCGACCGGAGATCGGAGGTCAACCTGTGGAACAGAGGGGCCTCGTTCCCTCTTCAGGGTCCCTTCGGTCGACGCCCCGACCGTATGCCTTTTCCCCTGCCCGCGCTCGCACTGCGGAAGTCGCGCCTCCCGTCTAAGGCAGCCGAGCCCCGGTGCCGGTCTGGCCGGCTTGCGGCCGCCCGTCGCCGCCGTCCGTCGCCGCCGTCTGCGCCGCGTGGTGTTTTCATTGCTCTGCGCCACATACACGCCAGCGATAACTGGGGGAGCTGTGGTCCTTAACTCCCCCCTGGGGGACCCATCGATTTCGACACCCCTCTCGAGAGATCGTCGATGCGATGGGTTCCCCCAGGGGGGTAAGGACCACAGCTCCCCCAGTTATCGCTGGTCGGACACAGATTGCACCACAGCGATGGCACCGCACAGACTGCATTGCACCGCGCAGGTAGCAAGGCGTCACTGTTTAGGGTCCACGCTGGCTAACATGTAGTTGCTTCGTTCCTGACGGGGGAGGACGAGGGGGAGGTGGGGTGGACGACGAGGAAGAGGAGGAGGTGGAGGGTATGTGCGGTATGTGGGCGGTGGGGAGGGGAAGAGACATGCAGCACACGCTTCAAAGATTGGTAGCTGGAAGATGTCTCTGGAGCGTACGGGAGCGGCACATGCGAAGGCAACCGAGTGGAGCGTGAAAGCAATGGGTATTGTGGCGCATGGGTGGAGGTTGAGGAGAAAGAGCAGCATGAAAAAAAGACGACGACGACGACGACGCTGGCGGCGGCGGCGGCGGCGACAATGACCATGAGGAAGCGAAGGAGGGGGGGAAAGGGGAAGGGGAAGGTGAAAAAGAGGGATGGAGAGTCGAAGAGGAGGGAGGGTGGGAACGGGAAAGAAAGCACAATCGCGAAGCAACAAGGAGGATGAGAGGATGACGACAGGGAGGAGGAAGAGGAGTAGTGAGAGGTATGGGAAGAGAGCGGAGGATGAGAGGGGAGAGGAAGGAGGAAAATGATGAGTACTTCATAGGCAGTGTTGATGGCGACGACGACCAAGAGAAAGAAGTGGTGAGGAGTAAAGTCAGACAGGGGAAGAAACAAGCTGACAGACTCAAAAAGGGGCCAGAGGAAGAGGAGGAATGGAAGGCGGGGGGCGGTAAGGTGGCCGACCTCTCCCAGGACGACGCCACGAATGAGGATAAGAGGATGACGAAGAGGAGGAGGTGGAGGAGGAGGAGGAGGAGGAGGAGGCGGAGAAGAGGGCGGGAGGATGAGGGGAGGAGGAAGAGGATTACATTCCGTTTTTCCCAACCATCCTGTGGTGTTGGGTCCTCGTTTTGAAGAGACAGCGCCCCGCGTTCACTCCCCCTCCTTCCTCCTCCTCCCCCTCCTCTCATCATCGTCGTCGTCGTCGTCGTCATCATCATCATCATCATCATCATCATCAGCATCATCATCATCATCATCATCATCATCATCATCATCTTCATCATCATCATCATCATCATCATCATCATCATCATCATCATCATCATCATCATCATCATCATCATCATCATCATCATCATCATGTGTTGGGTCCTCGTTTTGAAGAGAGAGCGCCCCGCGTTCCTCCTCCTCCCGCTGCCCCCTCCCTCCTCCCCCTTCTCCCTCCTCCCTGCGTTTCACCCACCTAGTACAGCGCTTCGTGGCCCCATAGGGTGCTCCGCCGAAGACCCCAGTGGCAGGATCTGCATGCAGTTCCACCTCCATTTCGGCGCACCCCTCACACGTTTCGTGGCCCGTGCTCCACCCAGGCCCCAGTGGCAGGGTCCGCATGCAGTTCCACCTCCATTCCGGCGCACCCCTCACACGTTTCGTGGCCCCTATAGGGTGCTCCGCCGAAGGCCCCAGTGGCAGGGTCCGCATGGAGTTCCACCCCCATGTCGGCGCACCCCTCACACGTTTCGTGGCCCTATAGGGTGCTCCGCCGAAGGCCCCAGTTGCAGGGTCCCCATGCAGTTCCACCCCCATTTCGGCGCACCCCTCACACGTTTCGTGGCCCCATAGGGTGCGCCGAAGGCCCCAGTGGTAGGGTCCGCATGCAGTTCCACCCCCATTTCGGCGCACCCCTCACACGTTTTGTGGCCCCATAGGGTGCTTCACCGAAGGCCCCAGTAGCAAGGTCCGCATGCAATTCCACCCCCATTTCGGCGCACCCCTCACATGTTTCGTGGCCCTATAGGGTGCTTCACCGAAGGCCCCCTGTGGCAGGGTCCGCATGCAGTTCCACCCCCATTCTGGCGCACCCCTCACATGTTTCGTGGCCCTATAGGGTGCTTCACCGGAGGCCCCCTGTGGCAGGGTCCGCATGCAATTTCACCCTCATTTCGGCACACCCCTCACACGTTTCGCGGCCCCATAGGGTGCTCCACCCAAGGCCCCAGTGGCAGGGTCCGCATGCAGTTCCACTTCCATGTCGGCGCACCTCTCACACGTTTCGTGGCCCCACAGGGTGCTCCGCCGAAAGCCCCAGTGGCAGGGTCCGCATGCAGTTCCACCCCCATTGTGGCGCACCCCTCGAACGTTTCGTGGCCCCATAGGGTGCCTCACCGAAGGCCCCAGCGGCAGCGCCCGCATGCGGTTCCACCCCCATGTCGGCACACCCCTCACACGCTTCGTGGCCCCATAGGGAGCTCCACCGAAGGCCACAGTGCTGCGTTCGCATGCGGTTCCAGCCCCCCATTTCGGCACACCCCTCACAAGTTTCGTGGCCTTATAGGGTGCTCCGCCGAAGGCCCCAGTGGCAGGGTCCGCATGCAGTTCCACCCCCCATTTCGGCGCACCCCTTGCACGTTCCGCGGCCCCATAGGGTGCTCCACCGACGGCTCTGGTGGCAGCGTCCGCATGGCATACCCGTGCCAATTTTGACACACCCGTCATACGCGTCGTGACCCCAGAGAGGTTCACCGAGGTCGATACCCACAACTGCGTCACTCACAACTGCACATGGTTGGGTCCCTCGCCAGGATAATTGTTCGTAACGTGGCTCCCCAGGATCTGAACCTCTGCCAGGGGACCGAGCTCTTCATCCTGAGCCGCTTTCTGACGGCCCTGGGGCCTGGCAGGGGCCTTCAGGGGCCGAAAACGACAGAAAGTCGACCGCAGCTCCATCTATCACGACGTGGGGGTCCCGAGGAGCAGGAGAACCCGTGGAGGCGAATCCGAAGACCCCCCGCGTGGCAGCCCGCGGCGCTCAGGCCGAGCGCAGCGCCACGAGGACCGCCCCTGCACGGCGCTCGGCCTCCGCCCCCGCGGGGCCCGCGCCAGCAGTAGGCAGCGAGCCCTCGGCGCCGTCGCAGCCGGGCCCGCGGCACGCGCCAGCGCAGCGGGGTGCCCGTCGGGGCGGCGGCCCGCCTTGGGCCGCGGGCCGTGGGCCTTGAGCCGGTCGAAGTGGATGGCGCCCGCGGCCGTCGGCGGCCGCCCTTGCCTGTGCTCCTCGGTCGGCATCGTCGGGGGGGCCCCCCGCCAGGTTTGGCACGAAGAGCCCGCGGCCGCCCGGCAGGACCACGCGCCCGGCAGCTCGCGCAGCACCGGGCGGCGAGAGAGCGGCGCGGGCCGCTCCGCGCCGCCGGCCGATAGTAGAGGACCACTGCCGGGAGCGCTCGCAGCGGCCTGGGCAGAGCAGCGGCCGCTCCGCGCCGCCAGCTCTTCCGACGCCTGCCCGAGGTCGCCAGGCGTTCGGCCGGGCTCGTGCCGAGCATTTTCTTTGGGTGGAGGGCAAAGGGTGAAATCTGAAATGCCGCTTCGATGGGTGCTCGAGGCTTGAATATGCAAAAGGTGAGTCACGAGACGGCTTGATCTTCGAGGTGCAGAAGCCCATAGGGATTTCACCCGGAGCCCTAAGAAGATTCTCAGTCGTGTTGGGTGCGGGGCATCGGCACGGACTGCGGCTGCGGCCGTCGCTCGCCAGCGCGCGGCGCGAGCGGAAGGCCGCCAATGGGGCGGCGCCACGCGCGCGCCCTCCGCTCGCGCCGGGGGGTCGCCGCGGCTTCTCTCTGCAGCCGCTGCATCCAGCTTCGAGGAGCAGCAGCCTCGACGAGGGCGAGACGGAGGAGGAGAAAGAGGAGGAGGAGGAGGAGGAGGAGCGAAGGATAAGGCGGATAAGGAGGAGGAGGAGGAGGAGGAGGAGGAGGAGGAGGAGGAGAAGGAGGGGAGGGGTCGAGGGAGGAAAGAGCGCCCTGACCCCATACTTGGCGTTTACTGAACGGCCCTGGGCACTCACCACACAGCCCTGACCTGTCCGATGCCTTCCTGGGGTGCGTTTACTGGACGGCTTTGCTTGTCGGGATGTCTTCCAAATCGGAGGAGCAAGAAGTCATGATAACGATACGTCCCGAGATTACTAGAATCTCCTGGGTTTCCTGATGTTCCACACGGGCTGCAGAAAACAGGGCCGCTAGATACTTCGGAAATATTGGAACGCATGCTAAGCCAATATTATCATGACGTCGCCTCCTCCTCCTCCTCCTCCTCCTCCTCCTCCTCATCCTCATCCTCCTCCTTATCCTTCGCTCCTCCTCCTCCTCCTCCTTATCCTTCGCTCCTCCTCCTCCTGATTATTATTATTAATATTATTATTATGATGATGATGATGATGATGATGATGATGATGATGATGATGATGATGATGATTATTATTATTATGATGATTATTATTCGCTCCTCCTCCTCATCATCCTCATCCTCATTAGTATCATTTCATTCTCTCCTCCTCCTCCTTCTCCTCTTCCTCGCCCTCCTCGATCGGATCGAACATGGCCCTGCAGGGGCGACCGACGCCTGCCAGCAGTGGTGGCTGTGGGGGGGAGGGGCCGTCGAGGTGGTCGACCAGTCGATGCACCAATCCAGCACACCAATCGCAAGGGCTCCCTCGAGGGCGCGAAGTTATTCGCGCTTCGCGCGTCGCGGTCCTCGTTCCTTCTCCCCCTCCTTATTCGCGCTTCGCGCTTCGCGGTCCTCGTTCCTTCTCCCCCTCCTCCTCGTCCTCCTATTCTCCCTTTGGGAGGGCGGCGCGAGAGCGCGAAGTTATTCGCGCTTCGCGCTTCGCGCAGCGCGAAGCGCGAAGTTGGGAGCCCTAGAATCGAACAGGCATGCTCGAGAAAGCGTTAGTCTGCCACCTCGAGGGCCCAAGCTCGAGTCCGTGTCGAGCTTTAATGAGAAACACGAGCTTCGGGCTCGAGCTATCCTACTGTATCGAGCCGGCGTCGAGGTGGTCGACCGCTCGCGCGCCGCCGACGCCACGGAGGGGGAGCCGGCCGAGAAGGCCCACAAGGAGGGGAGGCAGCAGGGCGCGAGATCCCGCAGCGCCCTCCTCGCGCGAGGCCTGGCCGCGGCGCCGCCGTCGCTGCGGCCGTCGTCGTCGTCGTCGTCGTCGCCGCCGTCGTCGTCGTCGTCGTCGTCGTCGTTCTCTGGGTTGGAGTCGGCTGGCTGGCGGTCTGAGGTGGCCAAAAATTGTCTCCGACCAGCAGGAAGGGGGTGCGAGTTCGAGGTATTGGGTTGGAGAAGGTTTTATCATTTTTCTGTCTCTGGGAGCAGTTTTCGGGCCCTGGGACTGTCAAGAACGGATCGGGGTGAAAAATCGTACCAGGTGGACGCCAGGAGGGGTTAGGGGACGGATTTTAAGCGGAGTTGCCCATTAGTCCCCCATCTTGGTTGATTCTCCCGGAGCCCATCCAGCTCAGACCCTTTTGGCGCCTTCATGTCGGGAATTCCGAGCCGCGTCCAGCAGTGGCAACGATGATTCCTTTTTTTTTTTTTTTTTTTTTTTCTTTTTTTTTTTTTCTTTTTCTACCCCCATCCGCCCAGTCCCAGTCCCGAGGCGAGGAGCCCGGCAGCGAAAGGGCTTGCTGCCGCTGCCCGCCGCTCTGCCGCCTGCCGCCCCGCCGCCCCGCCCGCCGGCCCGGCCACTTGGGCCCGAGTTAGGCCCCGGCCGCCGCGGGAGGGCCCCAGAGCCCGCGGCCTGGCAAAGCATGGCGTGTCGCCAAGGCCGCCACCGCGACACGCCATCCAGTAGTTCCTTGCCGTAGCTTCCCGAAGCGCCCCCGGACCCTCCGAGACGTCGGCGGCAGCGTCGGCGTCGCCGGCGGCGGCGTCTGTGGCGGCGGCTTCTGCGTCGTCGTCCTCCTCCTCCTCCTCCTCCTCCTCCTCCTCCTCCTCCTCCTCCTCGCCGTGCCCCCGCGAGCACAGGAAGAGGAGGAGGAGGAGGAGTGGGGAGGAGAAAGGGGCAGAAGGATGGGAGCAGGAGGACGAGAGGAGGGAGCAGAGCGGATCCTCGCCGTCGTCGTTGGCCTTGTCGTATCCGTCGCCGTCGGTGTCCTCCTCCTCCTCATCATCCTCCTCTTCCTCCTCCTTCTCTTCCTCCTACTTCTCCCCCCGCTCCTCCCATTCCTCTTCCTCCTCCTCCTCCTCCTCCTCCTCCTCCTCCTCCTCCTCCCTCCTCCTCCTCCTCCTCCCCCCCCCCCTCCTCCCCCTCCTGCGCCTCCTCCTCCTCGCCTCTTAGTTGACCTTGACATATTCGGGCACGCTCCGCCTCTTAAGCAGCAGCAACAACAACAGCAACAACAACAGCATTAATAGCAACAACAACAACAACAACAACAACAACAACCACAACCACAACCACAACAACAACAACAACAACAACAACAACAACAACAACAACAATTACTAGCACGTGGGGACACACCGTTCTCACCAGTGCCAGGGTTTTCATAGGAGGCGGGCAATACCCCCACTTTGTGGGGGGGCCGGTTCAAGCTCTACCAAATTTCCAAACGACTCTTCGCCACCACCCACACCCAGCTTCCCGCCCTATGACGTTCGGACACTTCACTTCGTGGCATGCGGACGACCGTGGCTACTATTCAGGGCCCCGCGGCCGACGACGACGGCGTGCGCGCGCGAAGAAAAAACGAATGTGTCCCGCATGGTATTATTTGACAGGGATGATGGCCCTGGCAGGTGCGCAACCGTTGTTGCAGAAGTTCGAAAAAGTTGCTCGCAAAAGCCCGTTTGACAGAAATGTTTAAAAAGTGTTGGGTTTCCTACGAATCCGCAAGAGCGCGCGGGATGAAATTTTGACATTTTTTTGTTGAAAAACCATTGGTTTTTTGATGTTTTTATGTTAAAATCGCTACCGAACACTAAGGTTTTGGAAGGATTTCGTCTTGCGCGCGCGAATGTCCACTTTACTTTATTTTTTTGCAAGGGATTCTTGAAGTTTGGTTATGTTAGAACAAGAAATGCCCACTTTAGTTTATTTTTTGCAAGGGAAAACCGATCGTAACAACACAACCGGATCCGGACCAACCCGTTTTGCTTGAGACTTCCTCACGAAAATGATGAAAATGAGGCTGCGGCCTAGGCGCGGCGGGGGGGTCGCGCACCAGGGGCCCCAACAATAATTATTCTTTAGAAGTAATAATGTTCAACAACAACAACAACAACAACGACAACGACAACGACAACAACAACAGCAACAGCAGCAACAGCAACAACAACAGCAACAGCAACAACAGCAACAGCAACAGCAACAATAACATCAACAACAGCAAACATGAATGTAAGATTATTCGCTCGTATCTGCTCGCGGGCCATTCAACACGTATATCTCAAACCCTCGATACCCACCCTCTTCGTCTACGATCTTACCCCCTTGGGGGTATCTATCTTCCTTACCTGCAACATGTATTTCGTGCAGCCCCTGAGGCAGGGGAAGAGAGGACGGATGGAAGGAAGGGGCAAGGGGGAGGGAGGAGGATTGAACACGGGCTAGAGTACCAGGAAGGGGGTTAGGAGCAGAAAGCACGTGGCAGAACCAGACGGGCAGATCGGGCGGGTAGACCCCAACGGGCGGGTCGGGAAGGCGGGCCCAAGCGGCCAGGTCGAGCAGGCGGGTTGTTGAAGCGTGCGCCGTGCATGAATCGCGAGAAAGCCTCGAGCGATAGCGCGATTCCCAAATAAATCGTGAGGAAATCATCCGCGAGAGCGTGATTCCTGAGTGTCGAGGGCGGCGCGGCGTTTGAGTGAAGTGCGAGGTAGTCCCATGCGAGAGCGCGATTCTAATATAAATTGCGAGGACGTCCCGCGCGAGATCGCGATTTGGAAATACATTGAGGAAGTATCAGGCGGGAGCCGCTGTTGTTGTCCACCTGTGGGCAGGGGTGCAGTTTGGTGACACGTCGCTTTCCCTTTTCAAAAACCGGATGTGAGCCCAGGAAGGAAGAAGCAACTAAGCTTAAGAATGCAATGATTACTAGACAGGGGGTTCTTTAGAAATGAGAATGCAGCTATCATTTCAAGATTGTTCGTTCCTATCTATTCGCGTGCCATTCAACACGCATATCCGAAACCATCGATACCCGCCCTCTTCGTCTTCGATCGTACCCAATTGGGGGGCATATCTCTCGTACGTGCAACATGTATTTCGCTCAGCCCCTGAGGCAAGAGAAGAGAGGACGGATGGAAGGAAGGGACACGCGGGACGGAGGAGGATGGAGCACGAGAGACAGTGCCAGGAGGGGGGCCAGGAGAAGAAAACAGATGGCAGAACCAGACGGGCAGATCGGGCGGGCAGGCCCCATTTGGCGGGTCGGGAAGGCGGGCCCAAGCGGCCAGGTCGAACAGGCGGCTTGCTGCAGCGTGCGCCGTGCATGAATCGCGAGGAAGCCTCGAGCGATAGCGCGATTCCCCAGTAAATCGTGAGAAAGGCCAAAGCGAGAGCATGATTCCTGCGTGTCGAGGGCGCGGCGTCCAAATAAAGTGCAGGGGGTCCCACGCGAGAGCGTGATTCCTGCATCGATAGTAAGGAAGTCCCGCGCGACACCACGATTTTGGTGTAAATTGCGGCGAAGTCTAAGGCGGGAGCCATTGTTTTGTGTTGTTATTATTGTTGTTGTTCGTATTGCTGTTGTTTCAGTTCGGGGCCCAACAACACATTTTGCTGACACGAAGCGTTTCCTGATACAGAAAAGTATCCCAGTGCGACCCTACCTAGGAGTTGGAACCCCTAGGAAAGCAGCATTAGTAGTAACAGTAACGCTAAGCTAAAGCTAAGCTAAAGCTAAGCCACAGCTAAGCTAAAGCTAAGCTAAAGCTAAGCTACAACTAAGCTAAAGCTGAGCAGCAGCTGAGCTAAAGCTAAGCCAAAGCCAACCTAAAGCTAAGCTAAAGCTAAGCTAAAGCTAAGCTAAAGCTAAGCTACAGCTAAGCTACAGCTAAGCTAAAGCTAAGCTAAAGCTAAGCTAAACGCTAAGCTAAACGCTAAGCGAAAAGCTAAGCGAAACGCTAAGCTAAAGCTAAGCTACAGCTAAGCTACAGCTAAGTTAAATCCCAGGGGACTGGGGGGAACCGCTCCCAGGGGACTGGGGGAACCGCCCCGGGCGCTTTCCACTGCCCGGCCCCTGTAAGCTAGAGAGTAAGAACCCTTCTAGGCAGAGCCTAGGTAGGGGAATAAGGTTCGAGCCCTGGGAGCACTTCAATGGAAAAACACACTGATCACTCGAGGGCGGACCAACAACCATTATGTCGTATCTATACATATATAAATATAAACAACAGCAATCACGCTAAGACCGTTCGATCTTATCTGCTCGCGTGCCATTCAACACGTGTACCCCAAACCCTCGATACCCGCCCTCTTCGTTTTCGATCGTGCCCCATTTAGGGGCATATCTGTTTTACATGCAACGCGGTTTGCGTGCAGCATCGAAAAATAGGGAAAAGAGGACGGATGAAAAGAAATGACAAAAGGTAAGTGGGTTGCTGAAGCGTGCGTTCTGCATGAGTCACGAGGAGGTCCAGGGATAGCGCGACTTCCAAATAAATCGTAAGGAAATCCACAGCGAGAGCGAGATTCCTGAGTGTCTGGGGCGCGGCGTCCGAATAAATTGCAAGGAAGTCTCACGCGAGAGCACGATTATGGTGTAAGTATGTCCCTCGCGAAAGTGCGAGTTGGAAATACATTGTGAGGAAGTATCTGGCGGGAGCCGCTGTTGTTGTAAACCGGGGCCCGACAGCACAGTCGGGTGGCATTTCACCTTCTCTTGTAAACAACAACGGGAAAAAAAAGCATTCCAAAATTCAAAAACGCAATGACTACCAGAGGGGGTATCAGCAATGGTTCTTCGACGTGAGAATTACACAATAAGATTACAGCAATATCAGCAACAACAACCACGACGACGACGACAACAACAACAATCATGTTACCCGAATGTTCTATTACCATGTAAGCTGCACCCATCCATCCTAATACCCCCCCTTCATGGGGATTGTCTTGCACGGGGTGGCCTGATATTTCCATAACCAGATTTCGCGCACA